AGGGAAGAGGAGGGCACGGATAGAGGAGGATGAGTAATCTGATGAGGAGGCGGGGAGGAGGAGGCGGAAGATGAGAGGGGGGATGGGGGGGGGGGGGGGGGGGGGGGGGGGGGGGGCGAAGCTTTCTACGCCCTAGGTCTGCGTCGAGATCGAACGCGGCGCGCTCCGACGCGCGGACCGCAGATTGCGGCAAGAACTCTGGATGGCAATCCTACGTCCTGGATATCGCGTGTACCCCGTGCTGATGGTTAAATTTGCCAGTGCGCGGATTTGGATGTTGGATTGGCTGCGCACCGCAGATTTTGAAGGCTCTCTGATTCGGTCTTGCGTCGTCATGAGGAAGGTCCCAGGCGGCGCGCAGAAAGAGCAAATGCGACCGATGCACCTGTTTATGCAGGGGTTCCAAGATAGACAGCCTCCGAACGGCGCGCCGAACAGGCTTCCTCACTTGAGCATTGGAGTTGCAATGGGAAATCAAACAAGCATCCCGGACTCAGGTATACCGCAGGCGCGGTTCGGCATTTAATTCCGGGAGGCATGGAACATGCGGAGCAGTTCTGCGACTGGACCGACCCCGTGGAAGATCCGATGTCTTTCTGCATGCAGAGTTTGTCGCGCTGCTGCGCTGCCCTCGCAGGAAATTCCCCATTTACGAACGACGCGATGCTGGGGCATTCTGTGCGTATTGCTCAGCATGTCGCTGCCCTGGCCACGGCGAATGATACCATATTTCGCGTTAAACCCAGGTTGCAGTTGTTTATGGAGTTGCGTTCGTCTGGAGTCTGGAGGGCAGCCATCCAGGCGCTGGAATCTCTGAGATGCAGACTTTGGAGGGCCCGCTGCGACTTTTGGGAAGCGCAGCGGGGGGTGGTGGGGGGGGGGGGGGGGGCGGGGCGCGTCTGAGTTTCCTAGGGCACGCGCGACGAAATTCATGAGGCAGCCTGTTGTTCGCGTTTTGCGCTCGGCATGACATCAAGTGTCTAAACACTCTTGCGCTCGGCATGACATAAAATGTCTAAACACATAGATCCCCGCATCTATGCGGGGTATGATTTCTGAAGGGCGACTCTTGCGATAAAATCTGAGCGGGGGAAATTCTGACACGGTTCTAATATATAGCCGTTCCCAATGTATTGTAGAATTGGATGCTCGAAGAGGGCCTGGGTCGCAGCCAGCGTCGTCGCGACGCAGACGGGCCGAGCGAAGTGGCACTCCGATAGTCGAAGCACACGCGCTGGCTAGCACTCGCTGTGGAAGCAAACCGCGCACCGCCGCTGCACAAGCAGCACGGGGAAAACCGCGATGCACGCGGCAAGGGGGCCGTCTGCGGCACCGCGGCGCCCGTCGGAAAGTGCAGGCACTGGGGCCCCATGACCCCGAACAACTACATGGGGGCCTGGCTTGGGAGGGCAGCTGCGGTCGCCGGGGGAGGAAGCCGAGGACGCCGAAAACGCAGTCGAACGTCCGTGCGACTCTCGGGGGCGCCGGAGGCCAAGGCGAACAGTTCGTGGACGCACTCGCCGGACTGGCAGAGGTGGAGGCGCCGCCTAGAAGCAGAGGAAGCACGCACAGCTGCGCAGGAAGCGTCGGGTAGGGCGTCGTGCTGGGGTAGGGCGTCGGGTAGAGCGTCGTGCCAGGGTAGGGCGTCTGGCAGGGCGTCTGGCTGGGGACTGGCGTCGGCTGGTCCAGCCCACTGTCCAATGGGGCAGGTGAAGGCTGCGGGGCTGCAGCCGCATGCGGGCGCCGTGGTCGCGGGTCGAGCTCGCGCGGAGGGCGCGACGAGGAAACGATTGTCCGGTTGTCGCAATCGATTGGGCGTCTGGGATCGCGGGGGCGGGCGGGGGTGCTAGTAGGCAGAAGCATTGGGCAATGGAGGGCAAGAGGAGGCGGGGGCCTGGTCAGCGCATTCAGGGGCAGACACGAGCGGGAGCGCGGAGAGGCATCGCATGCAAGAGGATCGACGGCGCCGTGACATTACCACGTCCGCCGACGGCGTCACCGAATACAGGGCCTCGCCGAAAACCTCGCGCTGCGCGCGCCTGAGGTCAGCCATGCCCGCCGGGAAGCGCGCATCAAGGGCCGCGCCCGTGAGGCGGCTCGGGGCGCAGCCCACGTCCTCCGCGAACATGGCAGAGCACGCGCTCCAGGCGCCGATGCTGACGTGGCCCTGGGCGTCGAAGTACGCGTTCTTCGTGTCGGGCCACCTGGCGCTCGGCGCCGCCATCAGCATTGCAGAAATCGAGAACCAGCTGACCCCGTAGGCCTAGGGCGCCAACCACCACTGCCTCGCGCCGCCGACGTCGATGCTGCAGATGTTCGAGACTCCTCCTCCGCGGCGGACTGGCCCTCGCCGTCCGCGGTGGCCATCTCCACGCTGGGCGGTATGAACGAGAAATCCATATTGGGCACCGCAGGCAGCCACTCAGCGTGGTAGGCGCGCTTACCGACGACACAAGAGCCAGCGATCAGCATGGGCAGGATCGGAAGGCCCATGTGCCGCCCAGCGCATCAGGGACAGCCCCAGGAGCAGGCCTGGAATGATCCCGAAGACGACGAAGATGTAAGCGACAGGAAACCAGCGCAGGTCGGCGGTCACGCTACCCAGTGCCCTGGTCATGGTGAACGGCACGGCGCGCATGGCAGGGATCATGAGCGCCCCGAAGAGCTTGAAATACAGGTGCGCAAACGCCGCCGTCATGCCAGTGGCGACGCTCGAGCGCGCCAGCGCAGACGGCATGCTCGTGGCGAAGGTGCCCACGTTCGCGCCGACGGTGAACGGGAACATCTTCTCGATTGTCAAGCTTGATGAGCCCGATTCCGACGACTGGCGTCAGCGTGGAGGTTGCTGTGCCGCTGCTCTGCATGGAGATGGTGATGTCCACACCGAAGAGAATAAGGATGTAGTCGGCCACTTAGGGCACCGTCTTGAACTCCAGGTTCACCAACCCTTGCATCCAAATCGCGGCGCGGCCCCGGAAGATCGTCTGCAGCAGCTTGACCAGAAGGATCAGCCTGAGTGCCAGCATCACCAGGGATATGACCAACAGCAGCCACCCAGCCCACTCGTCGGTCAGGGGGGTGTGCAGGAACACATGGTTGTAAAAAGGTGCGCTCGTTCTGGGTGGTCCATTGCGCAGGCAAGCCGTCCAGCGCGTCCTCATCGTCCGCCCGCGCGACCTTGGTCACCACCTTCTTGTCCCCAAAGATCAGGCGGGGAGACGTAAGACTCGGGTGCGGGGGACTCGGGTTGGCCTGACGGCGGCCATCATAAAAATGACGAGACCCAACCTGAGATTTGACGCGGGCTCCCGCTGCAAACATCCCACGAAAACGGGATCGTCAAAATCCGAGACGCGCTCGCCAAAAAAAATCGGCAAGCCCAAGTTCCGGCTTACTCGAGCCTCACGCTTCCCCAACCAAAGATCAGGCGAGAAGTGACCGGCTTCGTGAGCTTGGTGAATTCGACGCTCTCCACGAGGCCCTCCGCCTTGGCCCGGGCGGCGAATGGGCGCTCGGAGCGGGTGATGCCGTCGCCGTCGGCGGACTGACCGCTCAGCTCCGCGCCGCCCTCCAGCTCCACCATCGGCCAGGGGCGTGTGCGGCACGCGCCGGCGGGCGCCGCGGGGGCGCCGCCCGACGGGACTTGGATGCGGAGCGGGCCATAGGAGCGTCAGCGTCATCGTCGTCGCCACTGCCGCCGCCGTCGTTGCCGTCCCCCTTCAGGGTCGGCGGCACCGGCCGCCAAGCTTTGCCAATCAAAGGCCAAACCATTCTAAGTGACGGTGCGGCCGGTCCTTGGATTACCCGTCGGTCGGAGGAAGTGTTGCCTGGAAACATGAAGCAGAGGCGTGAGAAGCAGAGGTCTCCGCCCGCCTCCTGCAGAGGGAGGAAAACGGAAAAGCCCTCGATCCTTGAAGTAGGAAGGCGCAGCAAGTAGATTAGAACCTGGGAATCAAAACATACCGACTTTCAAGGACCGGCGTGCAACATGTTACCAGGGTTAGGTCGGGCGTGTCCTCCTACAGGCGGATTTTTGATGAAACCATAAGATACTGTCAAAACATACAAGAAAACATCTCCTCGTCGAAAAATCGTCCCCTGATTACTTTTTACTGTTTTGACTATTCCTCCTGTGGAGGGACCGGCCCGACTCAATACCAGGGGGGGCAGGCGGACGGGGGACCAGTCGCAGCAGGCGGAGGCGAGCAGGGCAGGCCTGCGGGGCCCTCTGGACACCGCGGTTGGGTGCCTGGGAGGCCTCGCGCCGCACCCCCTGGGGAAGGCACGACGAGGCCAGCACGAGGACGATGCTGCTCCCATCGCGCTGAAGGACCACATCCCAGAACTAATTTCGAGCACCCAGAACAGTATCGAAGCAGTTTCGAACGGGTATCGCCTCCCAGGGCCCTACACGTGAACCCCCTTGAGCTTGAGCTCTTCCTTGCTGCTCGAAACTCTCTCTGTTGAGCAACGCTCAAGTAGGTTGGAACATCCTAAGACAAGGATGCATTCGGGTGAGGATAAGACAAGAGTCTCTGAGATCCCGCTTCTCTGGAGGCTGTCCCGGGCGCCGCGGCCTTCTCAGAGCGCCTCGGAAAGCTCTGAGAGCGTTCCAGAAGGCTCTGGAGCGGACGTATCCTCGTCCTGGCACCGTCCGAGAGTGCTCGTCCGTCGCATCGCGTGGCTGCTCGCGCCGACTCCGCGCCGGATCCACGTAGGACCCCCTGCCGAGCCCGAGGCCCGCGCTCCAGACGCGAGAGGAGGCCGCCACCTCCGGAGGGGGCGGTGCGTTCCTGTTGTGGTGCAGCGTGAGCCAGTGGGTGGCGACTCATGGGCGCCTCCCGTGCCATCTTGCTGGCTCTTGCGAATCGACGCTGACCGACGCTACATCGTCGCTACATCGGCGCTACCTCATCAATGACCAGACGCTAACGCGCGCCAACGCACTCCAGCGACGAAATTACACGTCGGTCGGAAGACGTGGGTAGAAACATGCAGTAGGACGGCAATTGAAAGAAAGAAGAGGAGGGAAGGGTAAAACCTCTAGACTTTTGAAGAAGCAAGGCCGCTAGCACAGATTGGGATCTGGGCATCCAAGAATACCGACCTTCAACGACCGAAGAGTGCGAAGACATGCAAGGTTCCCATGCTGCCGAAGAAGCGGCCGTCTAGGCCTCCCCTGGAAAGAAGCAAAGAGGATCCGTGCGCCGGGGAGCCGCCTGCGGCAGCACTGGAGTTAGGTCGGGCGTGTTCCCCTACAGGGGGATTGGGCGAAAAATCAAACATATTCAACACATACTCTTAAATGTTCAAAAACATAAAAGGCGTCCACATAATATTTTTGATGTTATCCTCCTGTAGAGGGACGTACCCGACTTAACACTGGAAAAAGGCAGCGGGCGGGGGCCAGCGCGAGGGGCAGCTGGGACGGGTCCTGCCGTCGCTCGGGCTCGGACGTCCATTCCTGATTTTTCCGCCAGGCGATCCACGATGCTCCTGGGTGGTCCTCTCCTCCTCCTCCTCCTCCTCCTCCTCCTCCTCCTCCTCCTCCTCCTCCTCCTCCTCCTCCGCCTCAACTGCGGGGTGGAGCGGCGAAGGCTGCGGACCAGTAACGTCAATACGCTTCAGGCCAGGCCAGGTTGAAAATCATCCCGCAAGGCGATCCAAGATGCTCCTCGATGGTCCCCGCCGAGAAGCGTGCACGCAGTCGAGCGATGCCAAGGGGTGCCGCCCATTCTTGAGCCACCCTGCGCTCCGCGGCAGGCAGCTCGGCATGGCTGCAGCTCGACGCAGCACGATCCCGCCAGTCGACAGGAAGCGCAACATGGCTCCAGCCCGACAGGCAACTCGGCACGGCAGCGCAGCAGGCTCCCACCGATCCAAGCACGCAGGAGGCTGCTCTGGACGCGCGGTCAGGAGGAGAACGGTCGAATGCTTGGAGCCCCTGCAGGTCACTGGAGGTATCCAGCGGTTTCTTGGAGGTCTTGGGGGGCATGTGTAGGCCCCTGGAATCGGCGCGGGGGTTGCCGAGGAAATAGAGGGTACCAGTGGATGCCAAGGTGGATTATCTCTGGCCTACTCTAGCTTACAAGTGGGTTGCAAACTCCCCCGATGGCTCAGGGGGTTAGGTAACTCGGCTAAATGGGTGGAGCCCACTCAGCCTGGAGTATTACCCCCCCCCATGCCACTTCGGGCCTGTGTGCAACCCACTGGTTATGACCCACATTGGCATCCAGGAGGAGGAGGAGGAGGAGGAGGAGGAGGAGGAGGAGGAAGAGGAGGAGGAGGAGGATAGCGCCCCAATCCCCTTGGCGACCTCCGCGCCCATCCCAACACGCGTCACCCAGAGGCCGCCCTGGTCTCAGCACGCGACACCCCAATTGCAGGAAGACGCAGCTGCACCCACTCTGGCCGCCGGAGATCCGCGCGGATTCCTCAGCGTCAGTGCGGACGCCTCTCCCTGGCGCGCGGAGCGCGCCAAGGGCTGCGCCGGGGCCGCCGCCAAGGCGCTCCAGCACAGGCCCAAGAAATCCGGGAGGAACTCAGGGAAACGATGATGATGCAGTGATCTGCTCTCCGAGGCAGAGAAGCCAAGCACTGCCGGCGACGTCCCCGAGTCTTGCGGAGCCATGCCTGGCTGCTATCCGTCCTGCTCACCGCGCACCGCTCCAACCCAAGCAGCCCCCCGCACTCTCTGCCGCGCCCGAGCGGTGCCTTCTGCTCTCCCCTGTACGCCGGGAACGTGATGAGCCAGTCTCGGGGGTCGTTGGTGCACTCCACCCACTGCGCGCGGCGGCGGGTGTGATAATGAACTCCCCGCTGTCACCCTTGGCTTCGTCGGAGGATGGGCGGGCGTCCGCCTTATCGAGGAGGACTCGCAACTGCGTAGGAGTCGAATCGCAGTCTCCCACGGGAGCGCTGACCGAGGGCATACCCGTCGTATACATTGGCTGTTCTTGCCTGACACAGTGGAGCCGAGCAGGTGACACGTAGTACTCGACACGGTAGAGCCGAGCAGGTAAAACGCAGAGCCTAAAGGTACATGCGCATAGTGATATACATAGGCGCATACATGTACTGTAAGCTACACGCGCACTACATTGTAACGTGAACGTGGGCGAAGCGAAGGGGCTTATAGTTGAAAACAATGTTGCGTCCCGATTCGCTGGACCCATTCGGAGCCAACGGGCTGCGTGGACTGAGTTTCCTGCTCCCTGCGCCAGTCATAGTGTGAAGGTGTCCGATGCTGTAGTGATCGATTTCCCGCTGTGGAGCTGGGGAAAGTTACAAAAACGATGACCCCTGGGCGGAAACAGGCGTTCTATGTTCGGGGGCGGCCACGAGGGGGGGGCGTCCAAGAGGGGGGGGGGGGGGGGGGGGCAAATCATGGCCGGCGGTATGCGCGCGGCCCAGGGGGGGTCAGGGACCTATTGAGACAACAAGAGGCGCTATGAAACTGGGGGAGATATCGTGTCCCCGGCCAGGATATCCCCCCCCCCAGTCGTCACCCCCCTCTTTGCCGCCCCTTGATCTGTGCTCGATACGACGTTCTCACCATTCACGAGGGTGCTCAGGGACGGATCAAGCTGCACCACACTCGCGCCGCCGTGGCCAGAATCCTCTGAGAATCATAAAGGGCCCCCAGGACACACAAATGAATATACACAGATAAAATGATTCCCCATATTTTCCCATATTTTCGGGGTTTCTGTCTTCTCCCCCACTTCCCATATTTTTATTTTCTGGGGAATCGACGATTAATTGTGGCTGTGTGCTTTCTCCCCCCCTGAAAGAAGCGCTCGCGCTCCCGAGGTCGCTCTCCCTTTGAAAAGCACCGCGGATGCGCACCCTCAGGTCGGGCATGTCATCTCACATGCGGATGTTGGAGGAAGAGCTAAAAGTAGTGCAACAAGTGCCCATGAAGGCCAAGAACACTCGAACAATCGTCCCAAGACTATGTGTTTGACCAGTTCTGGATAGTCCTCCTGTAGAGGGACATGCCCGACTGAAGCGTACTCCCGGAACCAGCATCTCTCCTAAACAAACGGCGCGCTCGAGCAGCCGAGGCCACAAGCCCGCGCAGTAAAGTACAAGTGGCTCGCGCCCCCGATTCACTGAACCTACTAAAGAGAGCCGCGCTCCCGAAGCAAGAATCATTGGTACACTTCGGCGCACTCGCGCCTCCGAAACCATGGCGTCCAGGGAACTCACAATGCACTCGCACTTCCAGAGTCGCAATGCGTATTAAGTTACAATGCGGCCACACTCCTGCAGCCGTATGCCTTCACACATGGAAACGCATCCGCGGTCCTGGGGCCAATCCCTTGGCGACTCACTTCACATCCGTAACGCTGTGGCCACAATGCATATCAATCCTTTCCTTTCGCGACCCCGAGGCCAATCTCTGCCAAATTGCGACGCGCTCGCACTCCCGAAGCCGCACTCATTTCAGAATCGCGCCGTGCTCGCACCCATGGGGCCATAAACCTTCGGGAATGACAGCGAATATGGATTCCCTGGGCCACGTATCCTCGTAACTGAAACGAACTCGCGCTCCCGTGGCCAATTCATGGCAAGTTACGCCGCTCCCGCGGCCCCCGCAGCCACAATCCCGTGTCAATTGCCCTGCGCTCGCGCTCCCACCTGAATTCCGTAGTGCTGCTAAGGGGGGTCCGCGGGCAAACTGACTCACGCAAGGTGAACTCGAGCTCCAGGTAAGATACAGAGCTGACAGGCACACCTAGACAATATGAAATGATCAGAAGCGCTCGCCTCCAGTATCTAGACGGCTGAGATCGGTCGGCTACCAGAGCTGGGACCTGAGTTACCGATTCTCGAGGGGGAGCGCCGAGAGATGTCGTTTAGCACGCCGGCTACAAAAAACAAAACAATTCCGCGGGGGTGAGCAAAGAGAGCGAGAGAGCATAAGACAGCCCACGAGAGATTCCCTAACGGCCCCTTCAGATGAACTGGCCCCCGTCGACTGCCCAAATCCCTAGGACAGCCCTGAGACAGTCTAGAAAAACTCCATCATACAAAAAGGGATACCTGCTGATACGCTATAACAACTATGGATAGAATCGAGAACCCTTAACAAGCCATAAGAGAGCCATCGATAAACCAGCGAAAAATCTCGATGCACAATCAAATTGGGATCCGACTGGGTCGTGGTGGGATCCTATTCGGATCTTGGTGACATCCTGGACCGGGGGGTCCAGGGGCGGAGTATCATTCTAGGGGGGTGAGAGGCGATACAGTTTCGCCGGACGGGGAAGGGCCGATACATGCTTCTCAGCGGAAGACCCTCCGTTGCGCGTAACGGTGTCTAAACTATGTGTATAATGATGTAGACGCCTGGGCGCTCGCCTGTGGAAACAACGCTCCAATATATATATATACACACATATCAAACGCAATCTCCTCCCCAGACATCCGGCGGCTCCAATTGTTTCGATGCGCGGGCCCCGAAGGTCTCTGGACCACTCCCCCGGGGCCCGTTCTTCGCCCTGCACCGTTTTCCGACGGACCCCCGGAGCCCGGCGAGGGCCCCCCGAGGCCGAAGCCAGCCCCCATCCGCCAACTCCACATCTCCTGGAGCGTCGCATCGCCAGCTCCGCCTGACCGGGGGCCCTGGCTCCCGGGGGAGAACGGCTCGACGCGCATCGGCGCGACCTTCTGGAGGCCCGCGCGGCACTCTCGGACCGGCGTGCGGGGCCGCCTCCCCGGGCGCGCGCAGCGCGCGCCAGGAAGTGGAGGAAGTGGAGGAGGAGGAGGAGGAGGAGGGTGGCGGGGGGGGGGGGGGGGGGGAGGAGGAGGAGGGGGAGCAGATTCTCGGAGGAGGGGAGGAGGAGGAGGAGGAGGAGGAGGAGGAGGAGGAGGAGGAGGAGGAGGAGGAGGCAGAATGGAGAGTGGGGCATGGAGGATGGAGGATGCCGGCGCCGCGGGGGCGACTCCAGCGCCGAGCTGAAACATCTGCGCGGTCCTCCGGTGATGTACCTCCACTACAGCTTAGGAAGAGAACATCCGGGAGGCCTCGCGCGGCAACGTAAGCAAGCAAGCAAGAAGTCATACACCCGGAGGTGCGCATGACAGTGGACGGGAAACATGTTGCTGACTAAAAACTAAAAATCGGACCGCGCGGCGCTACACGGTCAGCTTTGCTGAGCGTACGAATTGCCGCCAGGAAACTTCATTAGCCAATTTACGAGATGACGCGCGGCAACGAAAGACCCGATTTACGTCGGATCTGCGTCGGCTTTACGGCGGGTCCACGACGGATGTACGTCGGACTGACGCTGGAGCATCGCCGCGCGAATGCCGACCCACAGCTGACGGAGCTGACGTGTGGACTAGGTAATACAACTATTGCGAGCCGCGCGAGGCCTCCAGGATTCCTCATAGTACAAGCCCGCGCGCGCTCCGCGCACGCTCAAGTTCCAGCAAGCGTCAACCCTTGACCGTCTCACAGCGATGTGCAGATGCGCACGCACGCATGCAGCGTGAGGAATGACCCACACATGATTTGAACAGCGTGAACCGAGCAGGGAAACTACCACTTTGTGGGGGCCTCTGGTGAGCCTCGTGGAATGTTCTTGGGACCTCTGGGCGGCCATTTGAGGGCCGGTTTGGGCGTCTGGAAACCTCTTGCTGTTTTGAGGGAGGGTCTTAGGAACTCCTTTGGGCGTGTTGGTGGCGACCCTGAGGCCTCAACAGCCCATAGGAATCGAAAAGAGGAGAGATCCCAACTCATCGATTGCCCCTGGAGAGGTTGAACGTGTTTGGCTTGCGCGCACTGGAGGGTCTCCTGGTGCTCTCTGAGCATGTCTTGAGCGTCTTTTGAAGCGCTTGGAGGCTGTCTCGAGCCGCCTGAGACCCCTCGAGGCCGTCTTGGTCGTGACTCTGGGCTGTCGTGGGCCGTCTCGATGGCTGCGTGATCGCCCTCCGAAGCGATTCTGGGGCCCAGCCCTTGACAAACACACAGCTCCAATTAAGTAGTAACGCCAAATGGCTTGAAAGCGAGGTGAAGAAGCATCAACAACGTGGACCGAACAGAGACACATTACCGACAAGGATGCTTCCATGCAACCCAGAGCAAAAAGAACCGAACCAGTGACAGGATTGCCGTCAACGCAATGGCAGCGCAATACAACACATTTACATGGACACTGGATGCGGGGGCAATGCAACGCACGAGGGAGGAGGGAAGAGCGATGATACAGGCCTAAGGGAGGATGGGAGAAGACTCAGACAGGGCGGAGTGGAGGAACGAGAGGAAGGGAAAGGAAGGAGGCGGGATCGCATAGCGTCTCCCACTCTTCACACGGACCGTGTCCCACAGGGAGCGCCACCTACGGGCCCAGAGAAATGCAGGGTTCACAGAGAGTTCCCCAGCCAAGTTCGGGACGCCCCTCACACGGATCTTGCCCCCCGGGATCTGCATTTACAGTGCCAGAGACAATGCTCGCATGGCGTCCCCGCCCATTCTGGCACATCGTTCACACGGATCGTGCCCCACAGGAAATGCCACGTACGGCCCCGCTGGGAGGATCCGCATGGCGTCCCCCCGCATGTGCCGACGCACCCCTCAAACGAATCGTGCCTAAAAGGGACCTCCACCCGCGGCCAAAGAAACAAAGTTCGCATTCCACCGATACGGCCATGTCATATCGGCACACCCCTGACATGCGTGCCCCATAGGAGCTCTACCTACGGCCCCGGAGAAAAAGTTCGCATGGCGTCCCCCCACCCATTTCGGCACACCCCTCACACGGACCACGCTCTATAGGGAGCTCCACCGACGGCCCCAAAAAGAAGGGTCGTGTGGCGTCCCCCTGCATGCGGATCGTGACCAGCAAGGAGCTCCACCCATGGCATCAATGGGTAACTTCGCATGCTCCTCACGCCCATTTCGGCACACGTCTCGCGCTCCGCCAAAAGCTCTACCTACGGCCTGAATGGACGCGCTCGCGCTGGGGCCGCCCCCTTCACGCGGATCGCGCCCCCCACAGGGAGCTCAACACACATATGCGCGCTAGCTCTGAAGCAGCCCCATATGTGGTTTGCCCCGCGGCGCGCGGTATACGAAGAGAGGACCGCGCCCTGCGCGACGCGCAGCTGCATAGGGTTGGGCCCGTCGCCAGGCTAAGCGTTGGTCTTTACATACACGCACACGTAATTACAATCGTGCACGCTTGCCTCTCGAGGCCGTCTTGAAGGCCATCTTGGGGCCGTCCTAGGGTGTCTTGGAAGCCTCTTGCAGACTCCTCGAAACCGTCTTGGGGAATGTGCCTGGGACCCTCTGAGGTCGATCACTGGAATGTGCCTGGGGAGCGTACCAGAGGCCCCTCATAGACATATCTTGGGGTCTCTTGGGAATTCTCTCGGAGACCAGTTTGGGGACACTTGGGGAACTCCTGGGGCATGCTTGGGGTCTCCTGGGGCATCTCGGGGGCCTTTCTGACACTCATTTGGACCTCCCGAGGGTCTCATTGGGGCCTGCTGGGGCCCTGTTGGGGGCCTGTTGGGGGCCCGTTGGCGGCCTCGGGGGTCATCGTGACGGCGGGCTCGAAATATCAGCTCCGGTTCACCCTCCTTGGCCCATCTTGGGGCCCTCTTGGGCTGTCTTCGGGGCTTCTTGATCCGTCTCGAGGCCCTCTTGGGCCGTCTGGGGGCCCTGTTGGGCAGTCTGGGGACAAGTGTGGAAACCTTTTGGGTCGTTCTGGACCGTCTTGACACCAAAAAGGCGAATATGATCAAAATGTCGAAACCAGTTGCCCCAGCCAGCACACTAGCCAGCCCGACCAGCCCAACCAGTCCGCCCGCAAACCCGCCAAGCAAACCGACCAGCCCAATCCGCCACCACGCCAATCCGCCTGCCCCGGCCGCCTGCCCTCCGTCACCACCGAGGTGGGGGAAGTTGTGAGCAAACTCCTGGAGGCCTCGCGCGGCAACTTGATACCCAATGTTCGGGAGCGCAAATCATGACCGGCGGCATGTGCGCGCCCCAGGGGGGGCCAGGGACGTAATGAAATAAGAGGAGGCGCCATGAAATCTTGGGAACTATCATGGCCCCCGCCAGGATATCCACCCCCCCTAGTCATCATCCCCCTCTGTGCCGCCCCCGAAATGTACGTCGGACTTACCGGGCTCACGTCGGATGCACGCCGGACTTACGCCAGACTTGCCAAAGAACATCGCCGCGCGAACGTCGGCCCATATCGCACGGAGCGGGCACGTGGCCTAGACACTTCAGCTACTGCGTGCCGCGCGAGGCCCGCAGGATTTTCCTCGGTAAGGGTGTCTTGCCCAGCGAAAGCGGCTGTGAACCGCCTCCCGGGGACCCGGCTGGCAGCCGACGAGGGCGAGGTCGGGCATGCCCCCCTACAAGCGGATTTTGGACGAACACTGAAAAATGCTCAACCAATGCCCCAAAACCGTCAAAAACAATTGTACCAACAAAAACGTCCCCATGCTGATTTGGCCATGTTTGAAAACTCCTCCCGTCGACGGACACGCCCGACTTTGGCCCAGCGAAAGCGGCTGTGAACCGCCTCCCGGGGACCCGGCCGGCAGCCGACGAGGGCCGCATCGCACCGTGCCGTGCTGGACCGGCCTGCCTGGGCGGGCGCCCCGGGCACGGTGTGAGGCCCCGAATGCGGCACTGTCGCCACTCCTCGCACTGCCCGACGCCCGCGCTCTCGACGGGAAAGCTCCCATGCTGGAAGCTGGCGTCACGTGTCAGGCCCCCCGTGTCCACGCAAAGGACGCCCGAAGGGCCCCCGGCCGCAGTCGAAGGAGGAGGAGGAGGAGCAGGAGGAGGAGGAGGACGAGAAGGTGGAGGAAGAGGAGGAGGAGGAGGAGGAGGAGGAGGAGGAGGAGGAGGAGGAGGAGGAGGAGGACGAGGAGGCCTTCGGGTGGTCTTGGGGGACGTCTTGGAAGCCTCTGGGAGCCTCCTGGGGCCGTTTTGGGAGACCCTCGGGCTGTCTTGGAGGCTTCGTGGACCGTCTTGGGGCCCTCTTGGGAGCTTTTTCGGACCGCCTTGGAAGCCTCTTGGGTCGGCTCTGAGCGAGGTCGGGGGCGTCTGTCTGGGTCCGTCTTGGCGCGCGCGCCAGAGCCGGACACGCGCACAAGCGAAAATCCACGAACAACCATAGTACATTCATGGAGTTTGGCTGGGCAGGCTCGGCTTTCGGGGGCTTCTTGGGCCGTCTAGGGGGCAAGCTGGGCCGTCTGGCGGCCGTCTTGAGCGTCTTGGGTCGCTGACTCGGCGAGGCCTCTCTGACCCGCGTGGGGCACGTCTGGGAAGCATCTCTGCACAGTCTCGGAGCCCCCCAATCGACCCTGCACACCCGCATCTGTGGTCGAGGTTCCGGCCTGAGGGACTGGACCTGGTCCCCCGTCATATGTATGTGTAAGTGTTTGTTCCTCGATGCTTCCTGCTTGTCATCCAAGCTGCAATCGCGTGGCCCTAAACACCACGCGCGCTCTCTCTGCGCGCTTGGGAGGGGGGCGTTCCTGTCTCTGTTCCCACGCGCCCCTGCGGGTCGCCGTGGCCACGACGTCCGTGACGTCGTCCTCGTCTGCGCGAGGACCGACGACCGACAACGACAACGACGGCGATGACCGACGACCGACAGCTCACGACGACGAACCACGATGACGGGCGGCAGCGGAGGCGGAGGCGGCGGCGACGGCGGAGGCGGCGGCGGCGACGACGACGACGGCGGAGGCGGCGACAGCGGCGACGACGACGGGGGGGGCCAGCGATCGTGGGGCAGTGGGGAGAAGAAGCAGTAGCGACAGCATCGGCGGCGGAGGCGACGGCAGCGGCAGCGGAGGCAGCATCGAATGCGGCAGCGGCAGCAGCCTCAACGGCGCCAGCGGCAGCAGCAACGGTGGCAACATCGACGGCAGCAGCAACAGCAGCAGCGACAGAAGCAGGTAAATTCTAGGTCCACCCCTGTCTTGATAAGGGGGAGGTCTGGATCAACTCGCTGTGCTTATTCACTATACAAGGCAATTGTTGCACGATAGATACGCTCTGTGATCAGAAGATGCCAGATCGGGAGTTGCACAGCACCAGCATTAGGTCGGGCATGTCCTCCTACAGGCGGGTTTGGGGTGCATTGGTGTGGGAATAAGCCGAACATAACCAAACCAAAAATTCATCAAAAGATCGTCACCAACTATGTTTGACTACTTTTTTGAAAATCCTCCATGTAGAGGGACATGCACGACTTAGCACCAGCAGCAGTGGAAAGGGTGAGCAGCTGGGAAGAGGAGGCAGAGAAAGACGAGACACAGGCGGCATGTGAGGCTGCAGGTCGGGAGGCTCCTCCTCTCGCTACTCCTCCGCCTCCCCCCAGACCCATCTTTCTCAGTGCAAGGGGGGAACGAGAAAGGACGGGAAGGAAGGGTTCCTCTTCCAACCGCTCCTCCTCCTCCTCCTCCTCCTCCTTTTCTTCCTCCTCCTCGTCATCCTCATGCAGTTCATGTTCCTGCTCCTGCTGGACATTTAGCTTCCGACCAGATTATGATGAACGGTTAGCTAGATCGCCAGGGGTTTACTTCTGAATTGTTTTTAAAGGATCGATGTCTGAAAAATCCAACGACCGAAATGGCCCCCATCGGGCCGAAATCGAGCAAAAACAACCAACGCGTTCGTTGTGGATCCCACCCGGCTCACCCCCTCCCCGCCGAGCGGACCAGGAGGCTTAAGTGTCAAGTGTGCGTCGGCCGTGGCTCCTGCAAAGGAGCGACAGCACAGCGCCGTGCGCTCTGAGGCCCACGCCGGAGAGGACCCCGCGAAGAGACCCCCTGGAAGGCGCCGCCCTGGCGAAAGTTGCCGTGTTATGTGGCCCGGGGCGCCCAGCCCGCAACTTGCCCGCAGATCCGGTAGATGCCGCGGGCCCGCTGGATGGGGCGCCATCCTCGTGAGGGCTACTCAAGTGAGCCGCTTTGGAAGTTCACTTCTAACACACACTTTCTCGATTCCGTAGCCTTGAATGGCCGCCAGGAGCAGAAGCCGACAACATGTCTGGCTGACGCAGGAAGGGGTCTGACAACAAGGGGGTGTTGCAATATATATTTGGCGCAACAGATGCGTGGGGTTGCAGTAGATTTGGCGTGTACAACACACTCCAATGCGCAAGTGCGTTGCTGGGCATACGCGTGCAGCGCATTAGTAGCAGCGCGGTGCAACACAACTCCCTGGCGCAATGCGTGTGCAATCCAGTTGCCCAATTTCTATTGCACCACCCCCTTTCGTCTGCGGCGCGCCATGAAAGCTCGGGTTCCTGGGGCGCTCGTTCCGCACCATAACCAACGTGAGTCGCAGGTCTTCCATCTTGGAGACACTCGGGAAAGGCGCCCACGCATCTCGCCCGCCTTCCTGATCCACATAGTCCACACTGGCTGTCGCGCGCGGCCCGCATGCCCCTGCGCCCTCGCCGGCGCCCGCCCCCTCGCAGTCTGCATCGCGAAATTTCTGCGTGCCGGACGGCGTCGACGTCGCCAAGTGCCCGTCGCTGACAGCTGCCGATCGCCCCCACTTGCTCCGCGAACGCGATGCCAAGTCCACGCGACAAGAAGCCTGGTCGGGCGCCCCAGGTTCGTCCACGGGACGCGCGCCGCACAAATTCACAAGGCTCTTCGGGGCGATTCGCTTTTTCTTCAAACCCTGCCGTCTCCTCGCAGCCGCCCTGCAAGACGTGCAATTTTTGCCCCGGGCATCGTCGCTGCGCTCGCAGCCTTGACGCCCTCGGTCGCCGTCGCGTCTGTAAGACCTCTGCGCGCGCACATGCGGCCCCTGCGACGACCGCGCCGCGCCTCCTCCGTGCATGTCACTGAGGAGCCCCTCTATGTGTCTCTTCCCTCGATGCGCCCCGGCCCTGTCTTTCGTCTGTTCCGTCAGCGCGCGGCGCCCTCTCTTGATCTCTCTCGCCTCTTGTTGGGCGACAGAGCGCACCGTTTGCACTGGTTGTCCGCCGCGCGCCCCGCCGCTGCACCCTGGGCTCGCTGCGCCGCGAGCGCCGCGTCCACGGGCCGGCCCGTTTCCCATCGGCCCTCTGCGCGCGCGCAACGTTCGCCCGTGGCCTGCGAGGCGCTCTTCAACGCGGCGGGCAGGGCGCCACTCAGGTTCTCTTCGTTCATGGGCCCGAGCGGACAGCCCGTCGAGATCCATGTGCCAGCTCGGGGCACGTCGCGCGTTTCCAGAGTCCCCCGACGCAGCGCTACCGCCCGATCTATCCGCCACGACGAGCGCGGAGAGAAACTCTCGCACTGCGTCATGTCGCCCTCCTTCTGACACTGGACCATCGGCGCCATCCGCTGCAGACGCCTGCCCCGCCGGTGCACGCGGCTCCACGTGCGCCGCGTGAAACCGCCACCTCCACCAGCGGAATCCAGTAATCCAGCCGCCGCAATTACCGTGGTAACCAGCCCCCCAAAACTCCACGCATACTGAAGTTCAGCCACTCGGCACCACGCAAACCTGATCAGAACCTGCGCGCCCGAAGCAGGCTGACACCGCTGGCGCGCCGGCGCAGCCCACCACGCCAGCAAGGCTGCTGGAAGGAATGATGCAACCTGCATTCCCGACGTCGATGCGGCCGCCCTGCATGCAGCTCGTCGCGGCGCATGCGTTTGGCCGTGGCCCCACGCCGGCCAAATTTGGGTCACCACCTCCTGAGGCAAGGCACCCGGACACGCCGCTGGCGCTCTGGGTGGCGCTGCTGCACCCATTCGCACAGCACGTCGCAAAGCATGCTCCACAATCGTGATTGGCATCGCAAGCGAACCTGCCACTGAAAGCCAAGTCATCAATCTTCTGCGTTCTTGCCCCAGACGTCCTGGCCAGCGCGCGCGCGCCAACCAGGGGCGCAGCCTGGCGCCGGCGCAGCGCAGTAGCCATAGACAGCGGAGATGCCAGCAACGATGTTTGGACATGCTACTAAATCCGCGAGTCCTTCACGGGCGCCATATGCGCAACCGGGCGCGCTGCGGTTCGCAACTGCGCGGGCGGCCGCTGACTTTGCGTCGCCAGCGACATGGCAAGCCTCGCCGTGGGCGACCAGAACAAGGAACGCGGGAAAGCGTGGCGACATTTTGCATGCGAAGACGTTGCGACTCTGCAGTGTAAGTGCGGAAGCGCGGGCGCGCGGGCGCTCGTTGCTAGAAGACGTCGCAAACACCTTGAGTCAACTTGAGCCAAGATGGTTGCGGAAGGGATTGATGGTCTGTTCGAAGCCATCTTGGCGCGGCTCGGACAGCTCGCAGAGTCCCGGGCGGCCTCGAGCCAGTCCCGGCGACCCTAGGGGATGTCAAAAAATCTCGGTGACCCGCCTGGGAGCCCGGACGGCCCGGAAGGCAGTCGCGGGCCAACAGGGGGGATGGGGGGGGGCGGGGGGGGCGCGCCGACACGGGGCCCGTGTCCCCGCCACCCCGGCATATTATACACGCTCATGTTTCGAATCCGAACGGTATCGCAACCCTGAAACTGCCGTCACTTGTGGGCCCAAGGGGCCTGTATATGGAGGAAGTATCAGGCGGGGGCTCGTCTGTGATTGAATTGCGAGGAATTCTCAGGCGGGGGCCCTTTCCCTCCGGGGCCCGCCGCTCATGGTTTCAATCCGAGCGGGCCATCGAAATCCTGTAACTGTCGCCACTGTTGGGCCCCTGCGGCCTGGATATGGAAGAAGTGCCAGGCGGGCGGCGGCCGATGACCTTCGCGCGGGACCTTCGCGCGCGCCGCGGACGCCGAAACGCGCGCGTCGCACGGGGGTCCACGTGCAAGCGGCCGCGCCTCCACTTCGGACGCGCCCAGATTGCGTTGCACCTCGGCGATTTCCTGCAGCTGAAGCCCACGGGCAGCATCGGCCTCCTGACGGACGCTAGCGAACTCCTGGACGACGGGCCCTGCAAGTACGCGGGCCCGCCGACGGTGGATATTCAGCACGCCATCAAGGACCTCTCTCAGATCCCCTGCGTCTTCGAACTAAAAGGCACGACGCGCTGCGAGCCCGGGGGCCCTCTGATCGCGCTCTTGGGCTGCGCGCGCGAGAGCGAGCCCTTCCCGCCTGAGGTCTGGTCCGCGTGGAAAACGACGTCGGCTTCGGACAACCGCTGCGCCCTGGGCCCTCGGCACCAGCGCGGGAACCTTCGGCTCCGCTATGGCGCGGGCATCTTCTGGGAGACGCTGGCGACATGGATCAACGCGCGCGCTCGTCGCGACGCGCGTCGTCTGGGCGTGCCCCTCGTTTTCTTGCAGGCCGTGGACGAGTGCAACGCGATTCAGGGCGATCCCGACGCGGGCCGTCGCCTCCTGAACGTCCCGAGCGCGCGCAAGACGAGACATCCGCGGCGCCGTGCCAGCCCGCGTCGGCATGGAGGCGCGAGCCACGGCAACGCAGAAAGAGCTGAAGAAGAAGTCGGGGCTCGCGCAGGATCAACGGGCCACCGTCGCATGCTTCGAGTTTCACCCCGAGGACGAGCAGCAGCGCCAGGAAAGCTCGCCGGGCCAGCTTTCCCGCCCCCGATACCTGCCGCGGGGAATCTGGCTGCAGGAGCGCGGCTTCGAGGAGTCTCAGATCGCCGAAGTGCTGCTACAAGGTGCCGAAAGCGCCGACGACGACGGCGAGGTCGCGGCGCGGGCGAGGAACTTGCTCATGTTCAGGCCCAGCGAGCAAGAGCTCACGTGGCAGAGATCTGGGCCGCACACCAACGTACCTCTCCTCACCTCCGCGCTGTCGCAGGGCCAGACGCTGCGCAAGGGCGTCGCCATCGGCTGCGCGAGGGATGAGGACGCTGGTCGCACGGGCGAACCGGACGAGCAGCGGTGGCTGCACCTCTACGTCATGTTCTCCCGCGCCACGCGCATGCAGAACATGCGGATCCTGCGGCCGCCGCCTCGAGTTCCTGGAGCGAGGGCCGCCGGCACCTTTGCGGAAGGCGCCGGAACGGAGAAATCCAGGGCAGAGGCGGAGCAGCTCACGGCAGAGCTGGGTTTCGTGTTGCCCCCCGCCTAAGCGCGGCGGCGCCCCGCTCGGAGCCCACGGGGTTGTCCCAACGTCCTGGTATCGCGCGCAAGCGGCTCGCGGGGTTGCCCCGACGGCCTGGCCCGCGGGGTTGTCCCCGACGGGTGCGTTTTTCCGCCGTCGGAAAACGCGCCCCTGCCAGGCGCGGCGGCGACGGCGCCGGAGAAAATCTACGCGCGCGCCCCTGCCAGGAGGAAGGGAAGGTGCAGGAGAACGAGCGGGGCGGCCATGAGAACGGGGAGAAGGAGGAGGAGGTGAAGGATGGCAAGGCAAAAGCCGAGGAGAAGGAGGAACATGAGGAGGAGAGGGAGGAACTGGAGGAGGCGGAGGAGGCGGAAGAGGAAAAGGATGATAAATGCAACGAATAAGACGAAAAAGGAACATGAGGAGGAGAAGGAGGAGGAGGAAAGGGACGGAGAGGGCGGAAGGAAGCCTCCGCCTGACGAAGAAAGAAAAGGCGAGGGGCAAGCTACATCGATTCTCATGTGGGGCCCCACCTTCAGAATCATTGAAGACTCGTCCTGTAGAGGGACGTGCCTGACTTCAGACAGGAGCACACGCCCGAACGATGCCAACGGGGGAATAGAACGCTCAGAGACATACTAGCACTACATGTCCTCCTTGGAGGCGCGCGTCCGACCCGAACATATAGTAGACCCATCTTGTAGTAGATCGTTTCCGGAGCGGTGTGGCCAGAAAGCGCCCGCCACGACGCATATACTACCAGATTCTCGGTGCGCGCGTCGCCCTTGGGGGAGCGACGCACATATAGCAGAGGTATGTCGGGGTGACGCCGAGGGAAAGCAGCGGTGCACAGGGGCACCCTTCCCTCCTCGGACCCTCTGCTTGCCCCCCCCCCTTCTGAGCGCGCCGCCGACCTGCGCCGATCCTGGCCGGGCACCGCGTATTGTTAAGTCGGGCGTGTCCCTCTATACAGGAGGATGATCCAAAGATCGCGCTTTCTGGATTATTTTGCACATCCCCAAAATGTTTCGGGGGGTCCCAGAGACCCCCCTCAGATCTAGTCGCTACCGCCCCCAGGACCCTCCCCTCGGAACCCTCCTTGGACCCCCCCGGGGACCGCTCCAGGCACCCCCCCAGAGGGCACGTCAGCTCCAAAAAGCGTCCCCGACGACTCCAAGAGCGCCCTCCCTCCCAAACAACGTCCCCGTCGACGCCAAGATCACCGAATCCGTAGCCCCCCGGATCGGCGGCACTGGCCGGAGGCCATTACAGTAGTTAAAAAATAATCAGGGAACGATTGTTTGAGTTTTTGTTTGACTGTTTTGGTACATTTTTAGTTTGTCGCTCCAGATTCGCCTGTAGGGGGTCATGCCCGACTTAGCTTATTGGGGGGGTAAACTCGAGAAGGGGGTCGACTACAGAAGTGACGCACCCCGAACATTTTTTCGTCCTTCCGAGTCCACGAAAAAAATCGCGGATCCGGTAGAGAAGGAAATCCATTTCGGGGCACATCGATTCTAAAGTCGATCCCCTACTCCTCCTCCTCCCCCTCCCCCTCTCCCTCCCCCTCCTCCTCCTCCTCCTCCCCCTCCCCCTCCCCTCCCCCTCCCCCCCCCCTCCCCCTCCCCCTCCCCCTCCCCCTCCCCCTCCCTCTCCTCCTCCTCCTCCCCAGGGGGAGGGGGGGGAGAGGGAAGGAAACGTGCCCGTCTCGGGCCCTTAGGAGTTCGCTGCGAAAGGGGAACTTCCCTGAAGAGTTCCCACACAACACGGTGGACAAGTTGCCGAGACGCTGCCCTGCGTGCCGTCCATGCGCGCACAGCCGTGTGCAGAACGTGGGTGGGTGGTGGTCACTGCATAAGGGAAACATAATCCCGAGCAGAGCAACACGCACCACGACCACGACGACGCCGACGACGACGGAGACGAGGCGCGCTTACGATCCGCGACGAAGCACGGATTTGGGAAAGGGCCCACCCTGCAGGTTCGGAAAGGGCCCACCCTGCAGGTTCGGTGCAGTTTGGCTGTGTGTGCAGAACGTCTTCACGTCTACCTCCCCAGAGACCTCAAAAACACTCTACGAATTCCCAAATGCAACCCCCGAACGCGACCAACACAATACGGCCACAATGCACCACACGAAGGCGCACAGGCTGAAAGGCCTGGGGGGGGATCAGAAACCGCTTGTCCTCGCAATTCGCAGCAAGCACGGGACGTGACATTGCGGGGGGAAGGAGCTGAATGACAGAGCAGACAGAGGGCGAGCGACAATGACGAGAATAGACCTGGGGGACAACAATGATATAGACATACAAACTCGAAGGTCCGCGCGGACTTCTCGGATCGGCGCTGGACCCCCCTCCTTGGCGCGCTCCGCGCGCCAGGGTCGGCGCCGGAGGCGCCGCCGGGGTACTCCAGCGCCGATCCGAGAAATCCAAGCGGACCTCCCGAATATCGAAGCATGTGAGAGCGCTGCCGTCTCAGCATCGATCAGCGAGATGTTCACCTGCCGGGGGTCCAGAGCTCGTGTGAGGAGATTGGCTGAGCAAGAACTTTTCTTGTGTTCAACCACGTGGCGCGCGATATGTGGCTGGCTGGGTGGGTGGGTGGGTTCGCTCGCTGGCACATAACATAACACAGCCGTGCCCGACCGCTCGAATGCTTTTCGCTGAAAGCGCCCCTGCTGCTATTGTTGGTACTGGTGTAGCGAAATGGAACAGCAGCTACGATCGCCACAAGGCGCGTTGATGCCGCAATGCCCGATCTCACCACACATGCTGATGTAACAACCTATGCATACACAACATCGCCTGTGTAGATCACAATGCATGGGTGCAAAGCAATGTTCCTGTGCACCGCAACGCATGTGTACACAACTGTGAACGCGTACGCCACAAACCGTTTACACAACACAATTGCGGCCACACACGAACGTTCTCCGTGTACCACAACGCCTGCGTTTAACAAGATCTACGCGCACACCACAGCAACCACGCGCAGCGCGGCGACGGGCGCCTGTGTGCAACATACTGTATATGTAACCAGAGAACCCGCGTACATTTCGAGGATCACGGCGAGGCCCATAGACCGAAACTCGCACTCGCGGGGGGGTGCGCTAACGTATCGAATTGAATATGCAAGCTTCTCATTCTTCTTCGGCCGCCTAAAGACCACTCTGACAAGTTGTTCGAGCTGCCTGGGGCCGCTGCGACGAAAATTCCCCCCAGAAGGGAGATACCCTTAGCGCCTCGAGTTCGCTCGCGCCGCGGTCTATGTAGTCCGAAAAGGTCCTGGCCCAAGAGGGCGACCTATGAGGGCTCCGACGCAGCTCAAAACGGCCCCAAAGCGGCAGAAACAAAAATACCAAGACCGCCCAAAGGCTTCCCAAGGGGGGGAAGGACAACCGACACTTCGAGCCTTCCGCCCTAAGTCGCCCCGAGGAGACCACAAGCGGCGCCCGAAAACCCCGTTCGACAGGTTCAAGGTTTACCCAAGAGCGCGCCCAAGGAGGCCCCAAGAGGCTCAAATCCATTGCTTCCCTTCACTGCCCTCACTGCCCCCCGCATCTGCCTGTCGACCCTCCTCGCCCCCTCTCGTCCTCATCTTCGTCCTCGCCCTCGTCCTCGTCCTCGTCTGGGCCCTCTTGGGGCCCAACGACTCGCTCCCGGCTGGACAGTCAGAGGCCGTGCTCCTGCCAGGAACGTGAGAAGGGCCCAACGTCGGCGTTCTGTAGGCATCTCGTTGGGCAGCGCGGGTCTTGTGGTCCGCACGGGCGCTGTGGCGCGAGCCGCATGGCCTACCAGGGCCCCGGATTGTTTGACCAAACTCACCCGTGCGCAAAATTGTTGGCACCCGGGAGTGTCATCACCGCGACGCCGTCGGGGATCCCACCGAGCAGGTAGCATGCCACCGTGCCATTATGCTGCCTGGCGCGGTTCCATTGGCGGCGGTGCTTTGGCCGGGGCCCCCATACGTTCTACCTTTCGAGGGTGCTGCTGCTGGTTGTTATCGCGTGGTCGTTATTGTTCGCAGCGACGGGTCTTCTCATCGAGCTCGGGCCCACTGTCGAGAAAGAACGACCAGCATCTTGACCTGGGCTGGCGTTGGTTCACGAAGGTGGTGGCCTCATCGTCGCTCAGGCCCAGGCCATCGCCGACCATCGCCTATGATGTGGATGGGGCAGTGACCGTCGACATGAAGCCATCCACAGACGAATTAATACATGGTGCAGGTTGTGGCTCGTGTCCGAACTGTGGGCTGGCATGTTGCTGCGACCCTGCGTCGCATGCCGACTGCAATATCAAGAAAAACGACCGGTAGAGTCCATCAATGATCTGCTCTTCATCTTCACATTCCCTGATTATTAGTTGCGCTTTTACCATCAGGGTAGTATCTGCACGGACATCTGCATCCTTTGCTTCCCAGCCCGATTTGATCAAAAGGCCGTTCGTAGCAATGTCGAACTCAGGAGGCGCACGAGGGATGTTGCGATGGGACCCGTTTCCGAACGGGACACGCGGGCTTGCGAACATGGCTCGGCGACGTATACGCGTTGCCACGCCACGGTGGAGTACGCTGAGCCAAATAGTCGTGTAGACACCCAGTCCCACCACATTCGGTCTTGTGGTGACAAGAGGGGCCTGCCGGCAAACGTCGGCTTCGAAGCCTCAGCGGCCGGCCGCGGACGCGGCGGCGCAATCGCGAAGCCGCCGCGCGAGGCAGCGCAGCCCGCCGCGAGGGCATCCTCTGAAACCAAGCGGGGGTCCCCGGGGGAACCCCTGGCCCCCTCCCTGACGCCCCAGCCGCCTTTCCGCGGCGCCCTGCCCCCTCCCACTTTTGACCGCGATTTTGGACACTTTTTGGGCCACGATTTTGCGCGCTGATTTGGCCCCCCTTCCGCGGGGGCGCATTTTTTTGACAGCGATTTTCCTCGCAATTCAATCAATGAGAAAAATCGTGTTCAACATCGTGGGTGGTTTCGTGGCGCCTTGCTTTGAAGACCCGAAACGGTGCGGTGACAGACCGTGCGGTGACCTCGGATTCCCAAGAGACCTCACCGCACGGTCCGTCACCGCACGGTCTTGGGACCCTGGAGGCCCCTGTCGCCCGAGACATCCTCGGAAAACGACCCGAGTCCCAAAACCGCGCGGTGACCCCGAATCCCCACCGACACACCGCACGGTGTGGTCACCACACCGTTTGGGGGCTCCCGATTTGCAAGGGGGCGCGGAATCGCGGCCGAAAATCGCGGGCAAAATCGCGCCCGAAATCGCTGGCAAAATCGCGTTCAAAATCGTGCTGCCGAAATCGTGGGCGAAGTCGTGGGCGCAGAATCGCGGGCCTGCCCGGTGCGCCGGCGCGCCAAGCAGGCGCGCCCGCGCAACGTCAGCGACGGCAAAGAAAAAAAAAGGAGAAACCGGCAGCAGCGGCAGGAAGGCCAGCAGCAGCAGCGGGAAAAGGAAATAATGGGAAGCAGCAGCAGGAGAGGAGGAGAAGAGGAGTCGTCGAAATTGACCCGCCCGATCGTCGCGCGCCCCACAGCGCGCTGAACATGTTCCTCGGGGGGGGCTCGACGGCCCCGCGGGCCAGAGGCGCGCGCGGATCTCCGGCGACTGCCTCGCAGCATTTCTACTTCGCGCGCGCGGGGCGGCGCGGAGGGGCCCCCCGGCGCAGAGTGCCCCGGCCAGGTCGGGCCAGAGATGGTCTTCGCCTGGGCGCGGCTTTCAGGCGCCCCGAAGCGATGCAAGAGGGCCCCAAGAAGCGCCCGAGACGGTCCAAGAGGGCTCTGAGTCGTCGAACGATCGGCCCGCGACACTCAAGATGGCTTCCAGGCGGCCCACGACGCGCGCAAGACCCCCGAAGAGGCCGCCGCGAGCTGAAACGGCACTCGAAAACGCGACTCTGAATGGTGAAGAAAATGGTAGCAGGGAGACAAGGCGGAAACAGATCGGGGGCGACACCGCTCGAATAACGCGTCGAAGCGAGATTGCGCACAAACCGCACGCCGAATGCCCAATGTCGGAGCGGGTCGGCGACGCAAGAAAATCTGAACAAAGAACAAACGGAAAACATGTAAATATAATATTTGTTGCTTCGGAAGAACGAAAAAAATCGTTGCGCCAATCCGCTTGGGGGGCGCAGCTTCATGACAGGTGCGCCGTGAAGACTAGGGCCAGCAGTGCTCGCAACGGCGCCTGAGCTGCCAGCGCCAGCTACCGAGGCGGCCACTTCCTGAGGAGGAGCGATTGGCGAGGCGCCACTGGAGGGCCCTGGTGGTGCCATTGCTTGCGCTGCCTTCTCGTTGAGATCGATGTCGTCGGCGGTCAACACTTTGGGTTCAGTCGGTGTCCCGGTGTTCCGTGTTCGAGGGTGCGCTGGTGCGCCGGGGGCCCAGGCGCTGTTTGGTGGGCGGACTTCATATTTGTTCCTGGTAACTCTCAGTGGCGGCAGAGTAGTGGACTGCTGGTATGTCGTGGGGTAGAGGACTGAAGCGTCGTCCCAATCTGGTGGGAAGAGCATTTCCCGCCTGGAGCACATCGGGATACATGGGCCGGGTAGTCCCCGTTTCGCCCAATCGACTGGCGCTGACTTCCACTCGGGCCCCCATCCATCCCACTTGAGTCGTGTGATGCGTTTCCCCAGTGACCTTGTCGATGCATGTGCCGTTGGTGCGCGCCCACAGATTCCCAGGGGAGTCAAACTGACTCGGATTCGGCCAGCCGTCTTTTCATTTTTTGTGATCATTTCCTTGTGTTGTTCTCCAATGATGTGAGCTTTACCCCACGCGTGCATCTGGCAGGGCTCGCACAACCATCCCCACGTCTGCATGTGCCCCCGAGCCACCGTCGGCATGTAGCGGAGCTCGCACACGGGCTATCCAGTAGCGATGTCCCGCCGCGGCCCATTTGGGACGTAGGAGGTGTGCGCTGTTCCATTGCTGCCCCATAACGCTTCAGTGCCACGCCCGCTGCGGCAGCTAACCGCTGCAGCCTTAGTATACAAGAGGAGAAGACAGAGCAGGCGTGATCCCAGTGAGCGATCGCTGGCCAAAGCAGCAAAGGGCGGGGAGGAGGGCAGCATAACAGGGGGGAGGGGCCCGACCGCGCGCCCCCTGAGCCAAAACGGCTCACGGGCGTTCAAGTGCGCCCACCACGGCAGCAGTGTCAGCAGCGCCCAGGAGGTCCACCTGGGAGACAGGAAGCAAGGGGGGAAGAGGTAGGGCGGCGGAAGCACGGTGGAAGGGGGTGGCGGCTGCATTTTGGTCGGCTTCGTGCAGCTCGTGGGCCCAGAAGACACCCACTGTGGCCAGGCGGTCAGCAGCTCTGTTGAGACGTCTTCGCGCGGCCTGCCAGGTCAGCGTCCGCCCGGCATCCTCAGCGGACCGAAGGCCCGTTTCCATTTGCTGACAGAACGGGAGGCGCCTGTACCTGGCCGTGCCTGCCCCATATCTGATGGCACCGAGATTGTCGCCATCGACGCGTGCTCTTTGCCCCGCGACGCGCCGTG